AAGACGAGATCCTAATCCAACTTTGTGCAAAAAAGATAGTCGTTCCAGATCCCATCACTCTTCTAAAAATAAATCCACGTCGCAAATGAACGATGAAAGACCTATAAGTGCATCAAAACCTTACAAATTCGGAGCAAAATAAACACTCGACAAATTTATTTCGATTTTTATTTTTTTAAGTTTTCCTTCCCGAACTAATTAAACTACTATTGATTTTCTATTATTATATTATAAGAGTGAGGATATGAGTGAAATAAAATACCTACAACCATACTCGTTCTATTGAAATATTCATCTGAAAAACCACTATTGACTGTATGTTTGTAGCTGAAAAGTTAGATATATGTACTAAAATCTACACAACTGCAGGAAGATATATTTTTGCATCGAATAATTATTAAAAACAAAAAAATTTATAGAACCTAGGATATACAATGTGCTTTTTTCTTATAAAACTCTCATTCGCAAGGGTGTGGGTGTCAGTATGAATACTCTATCCACCCGCACCCTTTTTTTGAACGACCATATATATCAACGAATTCATCAGGAACAGCAGCAAAAGTAAATGAGTAAATAACTGCTATAAAATACATGAAATTTTTTCGAAATTCAATAGTTATTATAGTCGGTGATATCTTTAATCATTATCAAAAAATAAAAAATTCAACAACTAGACAAAGAAACTACTATGAGAGATAACTGCTATAAAAATCATTTTACTTCAAACAGAAAAAAAAGAAGTTATTCGAGCTTTCGTACACCTTTCACGTATACATCATCAGGAAACTATACTACGCGTAGAAAACTATATTGTTACTGATCCATATACCATTCTATATGTTCTTGATGAATAATGTTTATTAAACATATAGATCAAACAACATCCCAGAAATTCTACATCACATTTCGCTTTCTGTAGCTTTTGAGTTAATCTTTCACAACATCGTATACTTACTAGAATCAATTCGCTATATTGTAAGCGAATATTAGAAATATACAACAAAAAAACACACTCACACCCTCAAGTGAGATAGATACCCAAATTGAACATATATTTCTATTAGGAAAAAACATTCTTATGAGATCGAGCCATATTGTGATTGACTGATACTTTGATTTTGATAGGGGTCCATATTGTCACTATTCAATACTTGTTCATTCTCTTTTTCACATTCTTTTCTCTCATCTTCATCACGTCTTCGATATGTAATTCGAGCTAAAAGACTCATAATAATAGAAGTACCCAATGCAATCAACACGAGTAGATTGATCAATTTTGCTCGATTTGGAGCAATAAACAGAAGAATGAGTGCAGTAATATTGAGCCATTGAAGAAGAATTGAGGCTGATAGAGACTCAGGTAAAGGAAACATTATTTCGGCCATTGCCTCATAGATTAATGGTAAAGCAGCACCTTGAAAAAAGCCCGCAAAAGCAACTGATAAACCAATTATGAGAGATGTAGAATGCAAAAGAGGTTTGTCGTAGAAGACCGTATGAACAGAAAGCTCAAAGAAGAACACGGCAAGAAAACAGCAGATAAATGCCAAGACAATAAGTATCTTGAGTCGTCGTTGAAAGTAGCGAGTATCGGCCAAGGCACCAAAACAGAGACCACCAACAATGCATGATATCAATGTTCCAAAAGCAAACCAGCCTGAAATGAAATATTTACTATTATTATTGTTTAGTGAGACTTTACTCACCTGATTGTTGTTCTGAATAATTCTCTGGTTTGAGAATAGTATCGAACAGACCTGTCCATGCACCGAATGTGCCGGCAATTATACCACCAGCAGTTGAAAGAAGAACCATGGATGGCGTAGTCATACATCGCCCGACATTCTTCATAGATATTCGCCAGGAACTGACATTTGGTCGATCAGTTCGATAAGACATGAGCAGTTCGGCTGCACCTGATGGAGCAGTAGGTGGTTGTACCGGAAAATAAATCAAAACAACAACACATGCTACAAATGTGAGACCCAAATGAATATAGAGAAGCCGAGGAATATGTCCGGGTAATGAAACAATCGCTGAACTGGTCAAGAAAGCAATAGCTCCACCGAGTTTATGCGTAAATATGGCTATGGTTGTGGCTCGAGTGCGCTGATTCGAGCCAAACCAAAGACAGGATAATTGTGAAACAGGTGTCGTAGCCAAGGGACCACATGCAGCGTTGAGAATCTGACCAGCATGCATGAATATCATAGAAATAGTTGTGAAATGAGGACTCGACGGAGAAGTAAGAACTGATGGAATGACACGGAGAAGTGCCGCTATGAAGTCACCGATTGCCAGTAGAATAATACAGTGTCGAAGTCCATGGTTTTTGTTGAGCAAGATATAAGTGAGAGGTAAACAAGGAATGAAAATAATTGGACCCCAATTGAGAAGAAGATCAACAGTGGCTTCACTGATCTTGTAATAAGTTTCTGTACTTCTTGCTATTGGAGAAAAAGTTAGCCATATAAGATTTTGATTAAATGAAAGTAGGCAAAAGACAGTAAGAACATAGAATCGCTGTGGATATACTCTATATGGTAGTGAAACGATGGATGGTGCGAGAAGAACAGTGTCTTTAGACATCGTGCTTGTCAAATGCGACAATAATTTTTGATAAAAGTGCAAAACTATCAACTAAATATGTTTATTAACATGCTTCGACAGCAAAGACAAAGATGAGAAGAGATAAGAAAGTAACATCGTGAGGGAAGAATAAAGAGATATAAAGTAAAGTCGACTTAGTATCAATGTAATTTTAAAATTGTTAGGTTGTCGAATTTCAAAAGTTAATTCGATCGATAATACTTAAAGAATATCATTTTATAAATTAATGACAGAACGCGTTGATTTATATTTTATTTCATATTAAAATGAGTAAATTCTTTTACAATTCTGTTTAAACGAGATAAGGAAAGAAAAAAAGAAAAGAGCAAATATTTCTTCTTATACGTCACTTAAACAATCATTTTACTTTATTCTATTATACTGATAAACATATACATATATTTATAGAAGAACGAATAATGCATGTAAAAGAATTGATTATATATCCAATCAAATCATGTAGTGGTATTAAAGTACAAGAAGCACTTGTAACAAAATATGGTTTAGCTTTACCATCAAATCCTCGAATATTTGATAGACGATGGATGATAGTGAAAAATGGCCGACATCTAGCACAACGAGTTTTGCCTCGTATGGCATTGATTCAAATTTCTCTTATCGATGATAATCTTTGTGTTCGAGCTCCAAATATGTCTGATCTTCATATTCCAATTAATTCATTACCAGAAGAAGTGATGCAATGTTTGTAAGTATATTTGAACTTGTTTTTGAAGAAAAATATTTGAAATAATCAATTTATAGTTGTTGGGATCAACCAATTCTTGGTTTACGATATGATGATAATGTTTCACATTGGTTTCGAACATTTTTAGAAATAGATGATAAAATTGATTTAGTTGTATTCGATGATAAAAACTTTCAAGGTCGTTTAGTTAAAGATTGTGAAGCACCTAATGTTGCTCGTGATGAAGATACAATTATTTATCATGATATGAGTCCAATACACCTATGTTCGTTAGAATCAGTTGCTGATCTTAATACACGATTAAAGAAACATATTCAAGTACAAAATTTTCGACCAAATATTGTTGTAGAAAATGTTGATAAACCTTATGCTGAAGTAAAAAATTCTATACTGTATAAAATGAAAAAAATATTAATTCTTAATTTTTATAGGATTGTTGGCGAGAAATTGAAATTGGTGAAATCAAGTTTACTTGGATTGCAGCTTGTATAAGGTTAGTTTCATCGGTATATTCTTTTTAATTAATACATTTTATTTTATTTTCAAAGATGTTTATTACCAACTATAGATCCTCAAACAGGTATTAAAGATCCTGATCTTGAACCATGGAAAACATTACGAAGGTGAGATTTCATTTTATTCTTATTGATTATTATTATTAATAAATATATTTTCATTAAGTTATCGTCTTAAACCAGACACATATCGTGATAAAGCGTTATTTGGAATTGATTTGGCACCGACAGACACGATAAAAAATGTTTCAGGGATTATTCGTGTTGGTGATTCAATTCGAATTATTAAAGATGAACCAGATTTTTGGGACAAAACATAATTTGAATAATAATTAAAAATAAAGATAGGGAGAGGAGAACAACGTATATGCAGTTTTGAAACTTGATTCGAGAGACTCATCTAATACTCTGCATGGCTCGAAAGTCCAATACACCCATTAGAATGAAACTCTGATATCAATCATTCAAGATTAAAACTAAAGCCTTTTTAATTAAGTTTTTTTTGAAAATATATATAACAAGCGTGTGAAGCATTTGATAAGAAAAAAAAGGCTTTCTAATCTCTAACATTGAAACATGCTTCGAATCATTATTTTAGTTTTGTCTCTTGCTATTGCAAATGTTGTTGCTGGAGACAATTTTGAATCCGACGAACTCAAGTGTGAATCAAACTATGGTACGAATGGCCCCGAATTTCCATGTAGTGGTAGTTTATCTACAAATTACAGATGCAACAATACTTTCGTTAATATTGTTGACACACCATTCTACAATTGTTCAAATATAAATATCTTTTGGGATGCTCCACGAAACAATTTGACACTCACTATTGAAGCAGCAAATTATACAGATTTTAAACGACCGTTTGCAGTCTCATTGAGCAGTAGATTGGGTTTGGTACCAGTCTACAGAGTTTATTCAAATGGAGAAGAAGTTTTGATACCAAAAACAGAGGAAAAACAAAGTGTATGCACATCTGATGAAAATTATCAAGTTATACTAAAATTTAAAGGACCACCACGATTTCAACTTTATGGAACGTTCATCGAATATGAAGTCGCACCAGTTGATACAAGTACTTCATAATTTTTTTCCGTTTTGAAGGAATGATGAAATAAAATAATAAGTTGATGATATTCTCTGTTTTTCTGTTGACATTATCATACGATGAAGATTAGCCATTGTGACCAGGTGAATTTAGAGAGAGTTTATTAGCAATAAAATAATGAACTTAATAATTAAATATATTCTATACAATAAAATAAAATGTTTCGTATGATTAATGCCGTATGCGTTATATATACAATGGATCCTACAATTCAATAGAATTATTATTCATAGTTCTGCATCGGTATAGAAATGAGTGCCATGTGTATTGGCAGACTTAACAAGATCAGCATCAAGCCAGATTAACTGTTAAAGTCCTAGGTTGAGAACTTATTTTAACTATTAAATGAAAGCATGAAAAAGGTCTCGCAGTAAATATAAAACGGCGATAACGATTTCATCTGTCGTTATTCAATTGTTTCGTGATTTATTTCGGAGAAATAGAAGCGAGAATTACGAACAACTTGATTTTCTATAAAAAGCATTAGAGAGGGATTCACTAAATGCAACACTAGGATGTGAGTATATGTATAATAATCATTTTGAAACTAATTAATAGAACAGCTTGCATTCATTTTCTTATTCACTTTTGATAGGATAACAGTTGAGAATTCATATAGCAATATCGATAATATGAAACTTGTTATCTTTTACTCATAAAACTGATAAAATACCGTACCTTACGTTCGCTATTTTATCTTCGACCAAAGTTTTATGTACTTGAGTATCTTGTCGAAATAACAAACCTTGTTAATACTAATTTTGAAAAATGAAGTGTAAAATTGATCTCTATATTATATGTACATCAAGTATATTTTGATGTCATGAAATAAATTCCAAAGTTCTTATAAAAAATTACGTTTCGAAAACTTTTGTAGAGAAAGATTTATACGAAAAATCTTCTCATATTATGAAACGATAAATTTTATCTAATGATAAAGTAAAAAGAAGCTTCATTATGTGTTTAATTTATTGAGTACGTCTTTTATCCACCTTAAAAAAATTCGTACTGTTCTGAGTATCACGATCTTTAGTACACTTTTTATCTTTAACAAATTAACATTGTGATTCATAACTTCACTTTTTCTGCATATAAAAAGCTGATTGTTTTTCGAAAGAATCTAATCAAAATCTAAATATGGTTTCAAGTAAAGTGATTCATTGGTTAACAGCTATTGCATCAATATTACTCAGTGGATTATTTTATTTATTTAGTCGAATGAAATGTCTTCATCCACATTGTGTTGAAACATATGCAAAAGACAGCATAACAATACTTTATACTTTCTATTTACTCTTTATTGTTATTACAACTCTTCTTTGTAAATTAATTCCACAACTACCATTTAAAATTCGATATTGGTTAGAAAAAGATCTTCCAACATCGTTATGTCTCGGTTGGTTTCAAGGATCCTTACTTGAACTTTTAACTTTATTTGCAGTTTTGGGGTTGATTATAGTTAATTTTATTTTCTATTGGAGTTTAATGTTATCTGTATCCAATGACCTATTGACAGAGAAAGATTATTGGAATGCAGCACTGATGGGAAGTGGACATATGGGTGATGTTTTATTAGGTTTATTATTAATTCCATTAGGTCGTCATTCATTTTTATCATCTTTACTCGATATACATATTGATAGTGCACTTCGTTTTCATAAACGTTGTGGAACACTCTTTTGTTTAATTAGTATTTTACATGGATTTGTTATATGGACGAAAGTAACAAGATTTTTAAATCCACCTTCGTATTTCTATTGGACATTTAATATTGGTGTTCAAGGTCAAAAATGGATATTTTATGTTTCAAATGCTGGATTTATGACAACGTTTGGGTTTATCGCAGGTATTGCATTATCTATTATATGGATATTCAGTTTTTCTATTATTCGACGACGTTTATATAATCTTTTCTATATAATTCATATTCTTTTTGGACCATTGATGATTATAAGTGCAAGTTTTCATACAAGTAGTATTTGGTATTATTGTATGCCTGGTGCTTTTCTTCTTTCGATTGATTGGATAATTCGATTATATAATTATAGAAAGCAAAGAAAAGGCTTAATAAGACGAGAAGAATGTGGATATCTTCGAATTGATATCTTCGATAAAATCGATTTTAATCTCGCAAGTTTTATTATGATTAAAATCGAAGAACTTGGCTATCAAATAAGTCATCCATTTACAATTGCCAATGATGCGAATGAAGATTATTTAGTTTTATTAATAAAACCTTCATTATTAACATTAAAATGGACAAATCGATTAG